ATACACCACGTCTGCATGTATAAAAAAATGACTTACAGAAGAAAAAGCCCTTCTCACCATCCCTCTGTCTGGCCAGGAACCTTCTTCTCCAGCCACCTCAGCCCTGCTCAAAAAGGTCTTTCTTGTGTGGAGGAAAGAAGAGCCCACTCTCACGGAGAGCTGCTCAGGAGGGAGCATGCCTGGCACACTGCTCCCTGCTGCTGCCGAGGGTCCCAAGGCTAAGGGGTGCTGGACACAGGATGGTTACCTTGCAAATAGGTGCTTCCCTGCCTAGGGGATGGTGTGCAGCCTCATGGCTCAGAACCCCAGTACTCAGCCCCTGGAAGCAGAACACCATAAGCCAGGAACAAAGCTCCTCCCTGGTACCGCACCACTCATGAGGGGCAACAGCCCACAGTGGCTGTGATAAAGCTCTCCACCATAACCCCAGCCAGAGGTGTCACAAAAATCAAACAAAGAATGACATCTGCCCTAACCTCACACTGACTGCTTTCCTCTGACACTGGGGACGTGGAGTACCAACAAAATATATGTCTAAAGGGACCATATATTTCCACAGGAGCAACACCAACCAAGACATGGTACTAACGACAGCAGTCACCCCATGAAAAAGTCCCTGTGGCAACACCCAGGGCATCTGTAGAGAAAGCATCACAGTCTAAAATTTGAAAATGCCAAACCACATGCTTTCTTTATAAAACAGTCATTTATTAAAAGCAAGGAAAAAAGAGAAGCCCACATTTAATCCCTGATCCTTGCATACAAATCCTGAAAGACAGAAGGTCTGTGTGCACTGGGGGCCAGACAATTTGCAATTTTATAATTCTAATGAGAATTTTCAAATGCATGGAGGACAAAGTCTGTACCTCCTTAACCTCAAAGGATCACACAAGTATAGCTAAGCCAAAAATTATATCTTGCTTCAGACTGCATTCTCCTTTCTATACACATTTACCATTTCTAGCTTCCTTGCTCATTATATAGCTTGTACACATTGTGTTGTTTCCTTTTAATTCTTATGCAATCCCTCTACAGTCTCCTGCCTGACTCTTATTTTGAATACGCTCTCATGTAGCTCTCTAACAGTCATGAAAAGCACTGTAACACGTTCACTTGGTATTCCCTATAGATGAAAAACAGCCTTAGTAAAGAAAATTCAGTTATAAGCTGTTTAGTCAGAATTCTTCTTAAGAAGCCACTGTGTATTCATAACAAAAATAGCATGACTCCTAAGAAACAACCAGTGTCATAATTCATATGAACCTTCTATTACCCAAGCCTATAGGTTTTGCACGGGGGACCCTACTACACTGTATCCACTTAGTTGTTCTCTATTGGTTTTCACTGATGTATCAAATCAAAGGCTGAGTCTAATGTTAATCTAAATGCAATGCTCTATGCCTTCAATTAAAACCATGGGTCATAAATTCCATATTCAGGTTAAACAACCTTGCAGGAAGTCAAACCCAGAGACAAAAAACTGATATACAACACTCACCTAAAGCAAAGAAAATTGCATTGCTTTGAGGCACTCAGATTTTCTCTGTTTAGTTGTCAAAACTAAATTACCAGAGGAGCTGCAGACTAAATTTAGACTCTCCAGGGCTGCACCCATCCATAACCTGGCTTTTTTAGAACATCGCCACCACGGCAGGCACTCAGAAAGCTCAGGGGACACTACACTTTGCTCGGCCTACTTAGCAGAGACAAAAAACACATCTAAGACTCCCAAAGAATACAAATACTTTATGACTAAGCCAGCTTCCTTCTTTGCTGCTCCCCATCCTAGCAGCTCTGTTCCTGTAAGTGGAAATTGAGAAATAGGCTGGTATTGCTACAGCATGTGTATTATCAAAGCTAATTCTCCACAGCAATGAGAAAAAGAAGGTCTGGTTGCTTTTTCTGTCACTGTAACTAACTGTCACATTAAGCTCCAGATATGTTCTGAATAAAGCCTTTAGTAAAGGCAGAATGTCACATTATTCCTTCTTGCTTAAGCTCAAATTGTCAAGAATTATTGCTACACTGTCTGCCAAATGTACACATCCATGAGGTCTCACAGCCAGGTCCTGAACAGAAGTGTATGCCATATCTAGGCTGCTCATGCCTCCTAAAAAGTAATGACTGAGCTTTTAATTCAGATACAGCATCCTCCCACCTTCCCTCCCCCACTTATTTTGGCCTTACATTTAGCTTTTTCTGGCCTTTCTGATTGCTCCTTATTAACAAAAATTAACAAGAACTGAACAGTTATAGAACAGCATGACTAATCTTCATGCTTTTTTTCTAAAAAAAATAAGAAAATGTCCATACAATTTTACAGTAGGTTATAAAAATTCAGTACAGTGGCTCTGCAGCTCCCTGTAAATGCTGTGAAATGCCTCATAGTTGTAAAAGAGTTTCCCACATATTCCTGCTCTTTGAAGTCCTGGAGAAATGCTCATACTTTATGGAAACCAACATTAATCCATATGAAAGCTGCCAACGATTCAGGGAACATCAGCCAAAGAATGTCAGAATGAATGAGTTAGATCAGCCATTCTCAAACTACAGTCCACACCATGATTGCTGGTGCTCTGTTAGTTGGCTGGGCATTTGTGCTACTCTTCCCCTAGCTTCCATCCTGAAAACTACACTAGAAATATGCTAAATATATGTACATTAAATAAACTGCTTGGAGTTTACACAGTAAACTATATTAAATGCAGAAAGATTCCCAAAGCTTCCTGTCCATCTGTCTTCAATCCCCACATTTGTATGCCTTGCATATGAGAAACGGACTGTGCAGTCTCAAATGGAAAGGACCTGGTCTGTAAGACTACTGTGCTCTGGTGTCTGCAATAATCCAGCAGTGTTTAGATTCCTCAATTTAGAGAGCAAAGTCCTCTGGAACACAGGAAGAACCACGCTGAAACACTTCTTCAGATAAGGAATTACTAAAACCTCTTCTGGGTTGTAACGAACATTAACACAAAAAAGAAATGTGTAAGCATCAAGCTCAATTATCACACCAAATGGGGAAACTGAAGTAAACACCTGTTAAGATAAGAATATAAAAGCATCAGGTAACAAGAGCAATCAATACAATCCAGGAAATTCAAAAGGAAGAAAAGGTTTCACTTTATACAGAAAGAGCTGTAACAAGACAACCCTTTCTCAGTTTTTCCCTTGTGGTGTGTCCCAAAATCCTCACCGGAGGTCACAGCAAAAGTTGTATAAGAAGCTGTGTAATGAAACGGGACAGTGGATTTGTGACAGTTCTCATGCTTTTCCCCTGCCTGCCCCACCCAGCTGACGTCTCAATCTGACCTGCTTACATAACTTTAACTCTTTGTATCCTGCTTAATCAAGATCTTCTTAGATCACTTCTCCCCAGTTTTGGGAAAGGATTTTGGCAGGATTTTTTGTCTTAGTTGGTTTTTTGGTCTTTTTCCCTTTGCAAGCCCACACACATTTAACTTGATTGAGAACTCACTTCAAAAGCTTCCTTTCAACTACTTATGAGCATTTAAATAGCTACACAGGAACAAGTCAATAACTTGTCTACTATGCTTCCTGTTTCAAACAATGGCAAGCATTGGGTATTTTGGGATGCAAACACCCATTTTCTTGTATCTTTCTATCTCCTTAAGTGTGCATGTGCATATGTATCTATCTATACCTAGTTACTCCCACGCTTACTCACATATGCACACACATCCCCGTGTAAGTATGGCCTTTATGTATAACTCAACAAAATAAAATGCTTAGGCTAACTTCCAGACCTGTAAATATAACAACAGCTAAATGCAACACTTCAATTTCAAGTTTAATAACTGTTAAAAAGATTATTTCCCATGGTCTATGTCTTTAGTTGTTCAGTTTATATCAGGTGCTTACATGTACTTTGACCTGCACTTTTTCAACATGGATTTTATGGTCTTTGTGCAAGCATGCAACCCAATTCTGCAGCTGAGAATTGAGTTTCTGTATGTTGAAGAATAGGCTATGAGGCTATCAACCTCAAAAGATTGTCTGTACTTTTCAGGTAACATCACTAAGACAGAAAATTTACCCAGAATAAGACCCCATTTGTGCCTTTCATCTGGTGCAGGAAATAGGTGAAATGTGCTAACTTCGCTTCTGTTCCACATACTCAGAGCACTGTCTTCATACAGTAAGATACTCCCAGCATGTTAGTTGTCTGGGAGTAGCAATTTTAAATTAGATCTCCTCCAGCACAAACATCTTCACATTTAAAAATCACACTGGGAAATTAGAAATAAAATCACTCCCCAGAGGCATATGTAACATCAGCCTTTGTCTGTGTCACTTCTAGCCATCATCTAGTTACAGACCCTGTTGTTTAACAGTATCTTGTAGCTGCTATTCCCATTAACCAAAATGTCCAAAGTATTCAAATTGTTATCATTTTTCAGGGCTCATTACCAAATATACAACAGTTCAGTTACATTTAAAGAGAAGCAGGCATATTTTCTTGACAATGCTCTAAAGCCCTCACAGCAGCTAAAGGCTCATTTCCTCAAATCCATGTTTTCTTCAGTCACACTTGTGATGTTTTCCAGCAAACATCATCAGGGATTTGAGGAAACTCATCAGGAAGGAAAAGGTGCTGGAGAATTTTATCTAGCGTGTTGGTTCTCTATTTGTCTCTTTCTCAGTTATGTCCACTCTCCATTTAAAAAGATACCACCCCAGTAGCTTTAAAACACAAAAGCTTAGCACTGTAGTATTTTCTTGCTTAGCCAAGCTTTTTATTACTTCTGTGTATCTTCTGCTACATTTGTCCTATTCACCTCTGCCTTTGTTATGCTTTCCCAAGGCACCTTATCTTTCCGTGATTAACACAAACTCCCAAACGCTTCCTTCGCATGTACATTAGTCTCTTTTCTCAGAGTAACTGGTTTATGTCAAAGTTAAAAGTTATCTATTTTCAACAAATCAGACTTTTAAAGTGGTTTTAAAATAAACACTTCATAGAGCATGCCATGCTTTCTTACCTGAACAGAGCTGTTCGACTTTTGTGTAGTTTAAAGCTAATATATCATTAACCCATGCGATGATGTCATGTCTGCTCATAGTCTCTTGGGTTATAGAGGTAGAGTACACGTTGACCGCCATTCCCCAACTAGGAAAAAAAAAAGATGAAAATATTTTTGACATTTTGATAATTGTTTACTGAATACAATGAAATAACTCTTCCTGTTCAAAAAAGGAAAGGAAAAAATGCAATGCTTACACCACTCTCTTACTTATTGAGAAAGGAGGCTTAAATTTTATTCTTTGGTGATATGTAACCTCCTTAATATCCTGGAATCTATAAACTTATTTCTCCAGCTGTCACTGTTAAGTTAAAGAACTACTGAAAGTACTACAGTACTCTGCTTAATGCAAATAAGGTAAAAAAAAAATCAGACATAGCTTAAAGATACACAGACAGAAATCTCATGATCAGAGACCTGAGATTTCATCACACAGTGTCACAGAAATACAGTGATCTGACATCTGTCAGGTTTTCGCCACTGCAGGATGTTAAACCAGCATTTAATTTTCAGGTAACTTGCAGATGATGTAGCTGCTCTGCTTACTGAACTACTCGTTTCTTACTGGGACAGAGGCCTTTTGGACCATTAATTCAGTTCCAAACAGTCACGGGGTGAATATCAGATAATCTTTGTTACCAATTTACCAACTTCTATCCTGAAAGTAACTGAGACTTGCAGCCCCAACTGGAAAGCTGCCGTGGAGCCTGATTCCTCTAAAACATCGGGAACATTTCCTCTCAGCTTAAACCCATTTGCTCTTCTGCCAACATTACCCTCCAGCTCTAATGGCTTTTTCTTCCCCAGAACTGATTTCATACTGTATTAGGGACAGCAATCAGAGTCTATCCCAATGTCCAGGTAGTCTAGATTAAACAAATCAATTCCAGTCTCTTATATCAGGTCAGACATTCACAGACTGATCATGTCAGCAGTCCTCCTTTGAACAGACAGTTTCAAACTGTGTTCAGATAACATTTCACTGAGACACTGGAAAATAACACTCTGTGCTGAAAGTTTTCATAGCTACATCATCTTACATAGATTCTTCTAGTTAGCTAAGGTCCCTTCCAGGAAGCAGGTAATTCATAGTAGTTTTGGTCATTAATCCCCAAGTACACAGACAAGAAACATACTACTGAATTTTATTGCCTGTTATCCTACCCTAGTCACATCTTTCTGTTGTGAGACACTGCCAAGAGAAAAGATGAGCACATTCAACTTTATCTCATCAACAGTTTCACAAAGCAGAGTCAAGATCATTCATAAAGAGAGTAAATAATGTTCCCATGAGTAATGAACTTCAGAAAGTCCACTGGGAACAAACCAAGAATGAGATGTCTCAGAAATGATCAAAGTTGAACTAAAATTCTCGGAAAGAATATTATTCTCTGTTTGGTGGGGACTGTGACGTTCATCTCTAGTGACACCTTGTAGCTAACACTTAACAGTCTAGCTCGGTGCCAGTCGGGCCACCTCAGCCTTGGAGCTCAACTTTCTTCCTGCAAGAGAGCAGGATCTTCTCTATAGGGTCCTAGGTTTGCATGGACTATTTCCGTGAAGAATTTGCAGAGATGAAACCCTTTGAAGCTTGACAGACAATTCTGCTGTGAACACAAAGACAGCAGATTAACTCCACTCTTAGCTAGGTGTGCTGGAGCAACCTAGGTAAAATGTGGGGGAGAACCTACCAGCATGCCACTTGATTCAGTAACATGCAAGTGTGTAAGTACATAAAACAGCAAATAAAGTTATATACAAGATTACAAAGTTAATAATACAGGTCACTTTCTAAGAAACAAATTTCACAAACAGAAAGTTGTTCAAGTTGTTCCCATCTGCTGACATTAACATCCAAAACATAAAAGCCTCACATTTGCTTTAGGGGGGGAAGAAGGAAGTGGGAAAGAGAAAAAAAAAAAAAAGATAAAATAAGCTTTAAAAATTCATGCTCCAGTAGTCAGCAGGTACTGCCAGAAATCCATTCAGAACCAGGCTGCCTCTCTACCTGCTTCTGTGCGGGCACCTCCGAAGCACAGCAGAAATCAGCCCGTGCTCAGTCTGTCTGCTCAGTCCTTCCTGCAGGCTCCCAGACAGCACAGCCAAGTGTATGAACACAGCCCTGTATTCACTGCAGCAGTCAGCAAAGGTCGCTTTCTTGGCATGCACCAAGTGCTTGGATTGAACTGAGCACTAGAACAAAGTTTCAGAAACAGGGAGTGCCCTTTTACTCTAAAAACTGCACCATAATGGCTAACCATAAAAGCTTAGCTTCAATGTCAGGATGGAAGGGACTCACCGAGCAGGGAAACAGTACCTTTGATGACAATGACATCTGAAGTTTGAAACCTCACTCTTAGCATGGTTTTTACATTATTATTTTTAGCCTTTTTATACAGATACGAAACTAACAGAACGATACTATCACTGTTGCTATTTAACACATTAAATGTTGTAAGACCAGTTGAAATAACAGCTTAATAATGAATTTAATATTCACTTAAGATTTAGAATAGTGAGCTTAATATTAAACCAACTGTTCAATATGGAACAGTCCACTCAATTCTAAAGCAGCTAAAGATATTTAGATGACAACACCTGAAATAAAGCTACTCTGATCTGTAATTGCCACTACTTCATGAAGATTTTAATGGGCCTCTCGAGGCCAGGCAGAGCTCAGAATAACCATCAGCTACCAGTAGAGAAAGGGGAAAGTCTGCTCTGTTAAAAATATCAAGAAAATCCACATGCAGGAAGGAACCAGAACTTCCCTCATCATCCTTTACCACACTGCAAAGAGAAATACCCACCTTTCTGCAAACCACAGGGGAGCAACCAACCTCCTTTGCTGCAGTACATGGGGTGGGGAACTCTACTGCAGGAAACTGAGCAAATGAGTAACCTTGAGTTTTACAATGACACCCTCCAAGGGTACCTGTAATACAACTTAGTGCTGTGTCTACACAGGAGTTATTATGGTCTATGGACCAAACAAAAGTTCAGGCTACTTGTTAGAGACAATAGCTTCACATTTGTACACACAAGTATGCATGAGGGTGTATGAGCAAATTTTAAACGAAGTTAGGCAAAATTAACTGGAATCTGTGTGTAAAACATTCAGTAACATGCCACTGTCATTCATTTTCAGAGACTTATTTAAAATATATCTGAATCTTCCAGTCTCTTCTCTTGAGAAAGTTCACCCTGTCTTTGCATCTCCTGTTCCCCACCCTCCTACTGGTTATGTTTTAAATAAACCCAGCTGGGAAAGGTTTCCTTTACAGTAAGCATGTTCTAATTTGGTGCTAAGATACACACATATCCTGTTTGCCACACAGAGAGCTTGAACAAAACAAAAAGGAAAGAAAAAAAGAACAAGCAGGTATAGGTAGCACAGCCACCATGCCTGGCAACAGCCAAGAACCCTGGTGCTCAACACCTACAGCCGGGCTCAGGTTTTCTTCAGGACCCAGTTTCCTGAGTACTGAAGTACTTTAAAAAAATGTGATCCAGTTCCAAAACACGTTAATAAATGTGTGTAAGGCAATGCAAGAGAACAGCTGGACAGGTGGAGACACACAGGCCATGCTCTGAATGGCCAAGCAGCTAACAACTTGATTGTACATCCTAATGTTCTACTTCTTTCCAATAACATTATTTACATTTTCAACTTGTTAGGCTCTCCCTTATCTAGACTGAAGGCTCTCAAGCATAACATTGCAATGAGGCTTATACAACCTTGAAAACCAGCATCTGCCTGAGCTCTTTCACCTTCCATAGAGATGCTTGGCAATTCTACAGCAACTAAAAGCAGATCTAAGACAGGACATCATACCTCCCACTTCAGAGCTCAGGGTGGACATAAAAAACTTCTGGTTGTTAATAGTACTGCCTGACCACAAAGGACTCTCCCTTGTTTTACTCTAAGCCATAGGAGTATTCACATAGTAGTCCAGGCCATTTCAGGAAAACACATCACACAGGCACAACTATGCCCCACAGTTCAGAGGATTAGTTAGGTGCTGAAAATCACGTATATGCTTAAGCAGTTTTCCCAGTCAGAAATATATTGGCTCAGCATGAACACATTATACCCAAAGGTCTATTAATTTTTTAAGGCACTGCATGCAGCACTGAATGTTTAGCTACTAGGCCTTTTCCACTGCTCTTGCTACAGATAACTGCAGCTGTTACAAGGTGCTATCCAGCTGCTCTTAAGGACAGTTTCGCAAGAGGCATATTTACTTTATTTTTTCCAGGGATAAACTAACTCTTGTTGACACCAAAAGCTGTATTACAACAAATCAGTAATAATGAAGGATTACAGCAATGAATATATTTGTAGTGTAAAAACTCATCACACATGCCACCACCTCTGAAGCTGCAAGGCCTTAATGCTTGCACAGAATAGGCAAGGTTGAAAAGGGGCCACTGCAGGTCACCTAGTCCCCCGTCCTTGCTCAAGCAGGACAACCTAGAGCACCTTACTCAGGATTGTGTCCAGATGGCTTTTGATTATCTCCAGAGGAGACTCCACAACTTCTCTGGGCAACCTGTTCCTGTGCTCAGTCACGCTCACAGTAAAGAACTTCTTCCTCGTGTTCAGGTGGAATCCCCCATGTTCCAGTTTCTGTCCATTGTCTCTCGTTTAGTACAAATAGGCATAGTACGATGTTAAGTCTTCAAATGCAGTGGAAAGTGTGTCTGACAGGACAAAGAGGAGCCTTCTGGAAGCTGGCACTTGATAGCACCAGGATAGATACTGCCAGTAACACAAAAGATCTCACACCAAAATTACTGAAGCAGAAAGATACAGCAGAAAGGCTAAGATGTAGCTGAGACTGCTGCAGCTGCTGTTGAAAAGGCTTTCTAGATTAAAGCAACTGTATAACAAAAAAATCCCTGAAGGAAGAAACCTGCCAGGCTCAGTGGCTGAATTCCTGTACAAGGAAAATTCATCCTTGTATATCACCCTGAAATGGCAACTGATTTGCAGCTGGACCTCGCCTGTTTCTTTAAAACTCACTATACATAACCTTAGTCACAGTCATCACAGGCCAGTTATGCTCGAGGCTGTCTTTA